GTGTGTGTGTGTGTGTGTGTGTGTGTGTGTGTGTGTGTGCAAGCGCTGATGCCAGAAGAGGACATCAAGTATCTTCCTCTATCATTTACCATCTATTACTTTGAGGCAGAGGCTCTCCCCTGAACCTGGGGGTTCACATTTTCTCAGCTAGCCCGTGAACATCCTGTCTCCACCCTCCTTGAAGCTGAGATTACAGCTTTTTTAATAATAAGTAGAGGTGGGAATGAAAGGGTCAGGCATTATGCTGGCCTGCCCATTACCTGGTGGAATCCACTCAGGCAATACCCTGGTCAGCCCAAGGTTCCATGGGAAAGAAGTCTGCACGCAGGTGCAGAGGACCCCTTTAAAAGATAGGCCCCTGCACCTTTACGCTCTGTCTGTCTCTCTCTCCCCGTTTCTCTGTTTCCCCGCTCTCTCTCTCTATGGCGACCGGCCATGGCGGTCAGCCATTACCCTGTTCCTCTTCTTAGTCTCCCCATTCTACCGGGCCTTATAATAAACTTATAGTCAATATGTCTGTCTCAATATTTCTCTTTTCTTCTTTTTAAACAAAAGAATAACATGCAGGATACCCAGTTTGTCGCATGGGTGCTGGGATGCCCTGATCCTCCTGAACCATCTGTTCAACGCCAGTTCCAAAAGGATATGGCAAACCATGTAGGTAATCCCAGCATTTGGGACGCTGAGGTAGGAATATCGTTGAGCTCAAAGCCAGCCCTTGATAAGCAGCAAGACTGTCTCAAAAACATTTAAGGTGAAAAAAAAATATTTTAGAAGAGACAAAACTCGAATCAAGGCCTTAAAGGACGTAGCAATCTAACGTCTCCACAACCGAGCCAGAAAGGGTAAAGAGTGGTAGGCAGGAGATGAGGCTAGGTAGTGTGAGGTCTCTACTTTCAGGTCTTCGCTACCAGCGGTGGCAAATAAATGGCATTCGGGCCTTCGTATACACAGCTGGATTTACGTTAAATATGCAAATCCCCCACACACGATTTACAAGCACAAAGGTTGTTTCTTAAACTGCAACTCTGTGGGAAATGAGTTGGAAGCTTGCGACAGAAATGAAATCACATTTCCAGGATCCCGAATGAGCCAGCCTACGTAACATTTTACAACACGGAGGGTGATTCTGAGGGTTCTCCCCTCGTGGGTGCCGCCTCGGGGGCAGGGGACACCCAGTGTGACGGCTCAGCAAATGCTGTCTGCCGGTCACTCATTTGTACTGCACTAGTACAGTCACGCGAGTAGGGAGCCCGCCGCCTTCGGCGAAGATGCCTGCACTCCCTCGCTTCTGCGCCTTCTCCCCTCATCCCCGCCTTCCCTCAGAACCGACCCGCTCTACAACACCAGTGTCCGCCTTCCCGGCGGTCCGCGCCGCGCTTCCGGGGGCGGGGCCCAACCCCGGTCGGTTTCCACGGCCCCTGTGCTTTGGCTGAATTCAGCAAGGCCGGTCCCCGGAAACTGGACTTCTACTTCCGGGTCAGAGCCATGGCGGTGGCAAATTCAAGTCCAGTCAATCCGGTGGTCTTCTTTGATGTCAGCATCGGCGGCCAGGTGAGGTGCGGGAGGCCCGGCGGACCTGCGCGGCTGGGCAGGACACGGGTGAGGGAGGCAGCCGAGACTGGCTGGGCCAGGGCGGCCGAGGTGGGCGCTTCCGAGCTGCGTGGGCTGCGGTCGTGGACTGAGCCTTCTTGCGTCTCCCGTCACTTGCAGGAGGTTGGTCGCATGAAGATCGAGCTGTTTGCAGACGTGGTGCCTAAGACGGCAGAGAACTTCAGGTGAGGAGATGCTCCACTGAATCAGCGTGGCTGAGCCCGAAGCCGGCCTCGGGGCGCTCTTTGCAATGTCTGCCTCTGTCCATCCGTCCACTGCCTTGTGCTCTGTGCTCTGTGTATTATTGCACTGGCCGAATAGCTACCGGGTTTGACCGTTCCTGTGTCAATTTGTGATATTAGTTTACATGGCTGCATGCCCTGACATCCGGCCGACCAGTTAGTGGACTTGCTGGCCCCACTGTTTGTACCCTCATCTCCCGATATTAGAGATGCTCCGGGCAGCGATGGCATGGTAACTGTTCATTGTTTCTTTCCTTTTAGGCAATTCTGCACTGGAGAGTTCAGGTCAGTCTCAGATGTGTTTGACCTCTATTCCTCCTACTCCTGAAGGGTGTCCTGGAGGTTTGGTGAGGGTATTGGGGAACCATGGGCAAGTCTTGAGTGGTGGAAGATGATATTCAGAGGGTGTCTTCTTTATCGATGCGTTCTTTAGCTTGCTTCTATCCAAATCTTTCTGAGAGTCCTTTTAGCCTCCAGTGTGTCCCAAACGGAAAGGACCCATGGTTATTTGTCATCACTCCAAGTCTTTCTTTTTGGTTACAGAAAAGATGGTGTTCCAATAGGATACAAAGGAAGCACCTTCCATAGGTAAGGCTTTTGGCAAACTGTTAATGCAGTCATCACTTGGTATCTGTGCAGGCAATCCTGAACACCTGAGTACACCTATGGTAGATTAGGTTTGTTGTTTAAAGTGTCATGTCCAGGGCTGAGGATGTAGCTTGGTGGTAGAGAATTTTCCCAGCATACCTGAGACCCTGGGTTCAATACTCAGCACCACAGGCACCGTAAGTCATCCTAGATGTAGAAATGATGGCAAGGAAAACACTATCAGTTGGGTGCAGGTGCAGTTCCATAGGCTTCTATACCCAGCTTTTATGTGGGTTCTAGGGATCTGAACTCAGGTCCTCATGCCTCATTAACAAGGACTTTACCCACTGAACCATCCCCCTGGTTCCAGGTAGAGGCTTTGGTAATAATTACTATTATCAGGCAGTCATCTGCAGGAACCTGACCTTCTTGAATGCCTTGCTTTCTGTGTTTACCAATTTTTGTTAGGGTTTGACAGAAGTTGTTCCACTTTAATCCTGAAATTTTTGTGTCATCCATATCAGGGGCTTTAGAATTATGGTCTTTAATCCTTCCCAGCATCCTTGTGAGGTAGTATGTGTAATCTGCCTTCTTTAAGGAAGGAAACTGGGGCTAAGAAAGGACTATGCCTGGGTATATAACAGCTTACATTACCCTGTGTGTGTGTGGCAGTCCATTTCACATATATTTGCTGTTGTTCTTTCTTTCCCCCCAGATTTTCATTAAGCCCTTGACTTTTTTTTTTTTTTTTTTTTTTTTTTTTTTTTTTTTGTAAATATGTTATTTCTTCCTGACAGGTTTCAGCCCTTTTCTGTTGTTCAGGTGCTCACTCATATACCTTAGATCAACACAAAGATGCCCCTGGAGCTTAAAACAAGTTATGGTTCGTAATCCCTCATCTTGCTCAACTCCAGGGGTGAAGACTCAGTCTCTAAGCCACGGTGATAAACATTGTACTTCAGAAAAAATTACTAAGCTGCTATGTTGGTGACCAAACCACTGAATCCTTCCCTCGGGAATTTTTTGTTTGTTTTGTTTTTACTCTGTTTCAGGGTCATAAAGGATTTCATGATTCAGGGTGGAGATTTTGTTAATGTAAGTACTGCTGTTTTTTCTTTGCTATTCTTCCTATAGGGCTCCAGTCTTGAGATTTAAGAATAATAGCTAAGTTAAATGGAGAGAGCATGGACTAGGGGATGCACTGTAGAATTGCTGGTACTGCTGACTGTGCCCTTAGAACATATACCAATACTAAACTTGAATCATTAACTCCCATTGTCCAAACCTGAGCTTTTTTGTTACCAAAAATTGGACTTTGCTAGTCTACCTATAGACAGATGATCTAAGACCACATTCTTTGACCACAGAAAACTTTGAAATTAGCTGCAGCCCCCCTCCCCCACAGGAAGTGAGCCAACTGCTTGTATGCCCTATTTTTCCTTCCACTTCTGGTGTCCCTCTCTAAAATTGTAGTTTTTTGTTTGTTTTTGTGGTCTGTCTTTTTTCCTTTTGAAAGCTGAGGGGTTTTTTTGTTTTATTTTGGTTTTTGTTTTGTTTTGTTTTTTGTTTCTCAAGACAAGGTTTTTCTGTGGTTTTGGAGGCTTGCCTGGAACTAACTCTCATAAGACTAGGTTGGTCTCGAACTCAAAAAGATCCGCCTGCCTCTGCTTCCCGAGTGCTGTGATTAAAGGCGTGCGCCACCACCACCTGGCTGATAACCACAAGCCAGTTAGTGGCAAGGGGTCAGGAGAGGCAGGCAATTCAAAGGGTGTTTGCTCTGCTTGCTGAGGTAGCCCAAGGATCTGTCCTTCACTGCTGACCATGACATTTTGTGACTATGCTATTTGTTTCCCCATCCCAGCTTTGGAGTGTGCCCAATAAATTTTCTTTCTTAAACCTGCTTTTCCCTTAGCCACCCAACTCTGTACACGCTATTTCTTTACTGTTAATGTTGTTTAGGCGGGTATGTTGCCAACTCCTTATGTCTGAGAGACGATCTTTTCCCTTTAGATATAAATTTAGTTAGGTTCTTGTGAGTTTTTAAAGACCTTTAGGCTGAATCCTGCTGTCACTTGTGCTATGTTTCAACTGTGTAGTTCTATAAAGCTAGGGAATCTGGGAGACTGGAGAGGTAGCTCAGTGGTTAGGAAGAACACCTGCTGTTCTTCCAAAGGACTTGAGTTCCTGGCTCATAATTGTCTACAACTCCATTTCCAGAGTATCTGACACTTCTGGGCTCTGTGGGCACCAAAACTTATGTTACCATAAGTTTTACCATACATACAACAAACACAAAATTAAAAATAATACAAATAAATCCATTTTTAAAACTGGGAAATTTGGGATCAAAAGATTAAGAGCACTGGTGGCTCTTCCAGATGATCCAGATTTGATTCCCAGCACCCACATGGCAGCTCATAGCCATCTGTAACTCCAGCTCCACAAGTTTGAAAATGAATAAGAAGGGGTATATAGGAGCTTTGGAGGGAGGAAAGGAAAGGGGAAATGATGTGATTATGATCTCAAATTAAAAGAATTTTTTTTTTTTTTTGGTAGCACAGTTCCAGTATGAGGTCATTTGGGGGTAATTTTATTCATAAAGTTCTTACACAAACTATTACCCCTGGATTAGTAAGTGCCACATACAAGAAAGTGGTCTTAATTCTGCATGGGGCAGTATTTCCTATAAGTGCTACATGATGAGCACACAGACATAACTCATTCTTTAAAAAAAACTAACGCAAAGTAGAATATTCAACCCCCATCTCCTGTAATAAAAAGTAGTGCTGCGATCTATTGCCCAGATTTGGTTTTTGTCCTGATCATTTACAAAGGGTTTCCCAATGACTTGCATCATTGGGGCTGTGAATAAGAGTTCTTTCTTTGCTTTGAAGAGTGGCCTGTCTACTCCTTCCTCTGCTTCTTGTCTTCATGTTCATGTTCCTTAGGGCGACTGCTATCAAAGGGTCTTTTAGAACCACCAAGATTATCATCCCTAAGGAGAAATCTTTTTTAAAATAATGATAAAACTTAAAAAGAAAAAAAGAAAAGCTTGGCTTTAAGTGCAACAGTGTTTCTTCCCCCATGCAGTGTGTGTGTTCATGAGTAAGCATGCAGGTGTGCATGTGTGTGGGTGGGTGGGTGTACACAAGTGGGCATGCAGGTGTGCAAGCCTATGATGTGTGCCTCTGGGTATGGAGCCAGAGGTAGACACTGGGTGTTTTCTATCAGTCACTTACTGCCTTGAAACAAGGTTTCAGTAGATGGGTTACTGATTGGTTCAGCTAGGGGAGCTGGCCAGCTAGCTCTCAGTGTCTGCCTGTCTCCACCTATTAATGCTGGAGTAGAGGCCTGTACAGCCATGCCTGGACTGACTGGCTGACTCTAACTTCCTTCCTTCCTTCCTTCCTTCCTTCCTTCCTTCCTTCCTTCCTTCCTTCCTTCCTTCCTAATATGTGTGCTAAGGATTTGAACTCAGGTCTTCATGCTTGGATATAGCAAGCATTTTTACCCACTGAGCCATTCTCCCCAGCCCTATCAGTATTCCTCTGGTTTTCAGGGTGCCCAATACTCCAGGCCACTAACATATCTCTTTTCTACTCAGGGAGATGGTACTGGAGTTGCTAGCATTTACCGAGGCCCATTTGCAGATGAAAATTTCAAACTTAGACACTCAGCTCCAGGCCTGCTTTCCATGGTAAGTGACTCAGTTAAGATTTGGGGTTAGATGAATAGCAGGTTTCTGGTGCCTTGTTGAGACCCAGCTCTGTGTCTTGGATTAAAAGCAAGTGTTTCTCTTGCTTCAGTCAGGCTTCACTAGCACCTACCCCTTCTTCCTTCCTTGGTCTGATTTTATGTGTGGTGGCTCACTCTTGTGATTCTAAAGCTCAAGAGACTGATCTCTATAGGTTTGATGCCAGCCTGGGCTACAGAAATGAGACCCTATTTGGGGGGTGGGGGGAAGAACAAAACAAAATGAGACTGCTTCTGAGAAGGTAATTTCAAGGGAAGAGATGTGGCTGCAAAGTTTCAGATTCTCAGCTGGACTAGGGTGGGGTTCAGTTGGAAGAATGGCCAGTAGTTTGCAGAAGGCCCTAGGTTGTTCTCCAGCATAAAGTAAGCATGTGCACATTTATAATCCCAGTATTTGGGAGACTGAGGTAGGAGGGTCGGACTTCAAGCCCAGCCTCAGGTATATAATGAGTTCCAGAACAGTCTAGGTTACATGAGACATTGTCTCAAATCCCTTCTGCCTTCCCCCAAAAAGTAAAATTCATCAGTGAATGATTGGGACAGTGCAGGGCCTGGAAAGATGGTTCAGTGGGTAAGATCACTTCTGTTCTTGCAGGGGACCCAAGTTTGGTTCCCAGTACCCACATCACAGCTAATGACTGCCTACAACTATAGCTCCTGGGGATCCTGCATGAATATAGTGTGTATAAAGTTATAACAGGAACAATAAACAAGTAAATAAATTGTAATACATTGCAAAACCACTGCAGACAGCTGATTGCGTAGGCAGTGTGTCTTTTCTTAGCTGGTAACTAATTTGTAAGTATAATCTAGTTGTAGCTAATTTGCAGCTAATACACTAAGTCAAGTCCTGTAAGGAGGGAAAGGGGGCTATAGTAAGACAGCTCAGCCAGTAAAGACAAGGGATAAAAACACCTGCTGCACATGCCCAAGTTCAATACTAGCCCCACGAGAAGGTGGAAGCAGAGAACTCTACAAAGCTATTTTCTGACCTCACACACACACACACAAAATCACATACAATTTTTTAAAAATTTAGAAGAAAAAAACAGAAGGGAAACCAGCTAGAGAAGAGTGAGGGAGCCGGCTGAGAGGATCTAGGAAGAAAATTAATAAGAACAGGATATAATAAATGTACATATGAAAATTCCACAATTAAAGCCATTACTCTGTGTGTTAACCTAAAAACTTAGTTAAATCTTGTGTTTGCTTGTTTGAAATGAACAGTCATTCCCATTACAAAACCTCACACTGGGGGCTCAGTGGGTAAAGGGGCTTACCACCAAGTCTGATGACCTGAATTCAGACCCCAAGACCCATGTGATTGGAAGAGAGGCATGACTCCTACAATACCTCACACTATGAAGAGTGAAGAATTTAGATCCTCAAATGTGAGGACTCTGTCCTGTTTATCCATGTGTCCTTGTCTAGCCCCGTGTTCATAATAGGTGCTCAATTAGGTACATTTAGAGTTTTGGACTTTGTGGGAAATCTTACCCTCACCTAATATGGCCAGAGAAACTTACTTCAGGTATGTTTGGTTCCTATCAGGCAAACAGTGGTCCCAGTACAAACGGCTGCCAGTTCTTTATCACATGTTCTAAGTGTGATTGGCTGGATGGGAAGCATGTAGTGTTTGGTAAGTCTTACTCCCATCCCACTGTCCCAGTCATCTATCTTGGGCCTGCCACATTCTCTTCACTCACTAAACGTGTTCAGCTTCTGTAGCTACTCTAGGCTAGGGAAGATGGATGTGGTGGTTGGCTAGAACTCAGAAAAGACAAGGGTATTCCAGTAAATACACATGAAATAAATAATAAAGAAATGCCCTGCTGGCATTGATGGTGCATACCTTTAATCCCAGCACTCGGGAGGCAGAGGCAGGCAGATCTCTGTGAGTTCGAGGCCAGCCTGGTCTCCAGAGTGAGTGCCAGGATAGGCTCCAAAGCTACACAGAGAAACCCTGTCTCGAAAAACAAAAAACAAAAAAGAAATGCCCCAGAGGCAGCATGGAAGAGTGTGCCTGCCTTTGGGGTAACTCAGAGCCAAGCATGCATCCTAGTTTCCTGTGTATATTCCTTGTGACTTTGGGCAAGTCAGCTTACCTCGCTAAACCTCAGTTTCCTTACACTGTAAGGTGCTAACCGAGAATGGTTACTGGGAGCTGGAAATCACTGTGCCATCACCATGAAGGAAGCCTTGATTTAATGTTCTTCCTGCAGGAAAAATCATTGATGGACTTCTGGTGATGAGGAAAATCGAGGTTGGTCCTGCTTGGGTGTCCTCGTGGTAGCCTTTTTGGTCAGGTACCTTCTGCCTATTAATGAGGAACTAGAGAAGGGTAAATGGGCTTCAGTTTGCTAGATAGATTTGTCATTATCCTCAGTTACAGGCTCCCTTGGGGAAGAGAGGCGAGGTCAAGCTTTCTTGGCCGAATTCAGTAACCCGCCCAGTATATACTTGGGTTTGGCCTCTGATCCTGATGCCCACTTGGTAAATTCCACTTCTTGGCATTGCATTCAGGATCCTTGGTGACCTGTACTCTGCCTACCCCTCCATGACCCCTTCTGCCACTGCCTTCTCTGTCCAGTGGCATCAAGCTCCTGGCTTTTCTCTAAGGAGATTGGCCATACAGGTGCGTGCCTCCTGCTCTTCCTCACCCTAAGCCTTGGCTACAATCCTTCTCTCTACCTGAAGAGTTCCTTCTTTGGGATCTTACCTACCCTTCCTGGCCCAGTTAAGATGCCCCCTCTTCTGTGACTCTATAAATGGGTCCCTTCCTAGTCAGTGCTCTTCTGACTTGCTACATTGTTACTTTGTGGGGCTATAGCCTCTGTGTTACTTTTCTCTTTGATCTGTTACACTTTACTGTCTGTCAGGACACACCCCACATCAGTCTGATCTTGGTCCCTTCCTTAGGGAATGGAAGCAAGGGGATGAGCAGATGCCCAAGTGTATCTCATGTTTTTGTGCTTTGTTTTCTAGAATGTTCCCACAGGCCCTAACAATAAACCCAAATTGCCGGTGGTAATCTCACAGTGTGGGGAAATGTAATCTAGACCAAGACTGAACCAGGTAAGTTAGTTATCTCTTCTCCCTGGTTAGAATCATGGCTTGAGTTACACTCTGGGCTGGGGGTGGGGGAGAAAGTTTGGGGGTGAGGGGAGGGAGAGGGAGAAGGGACTTGAAATAAGCTTGTTCCCTAACTACAACTAATAAAATAAAATAAAATTTAAAAAAAAAAAAAAAAAAGAATCATGGCTTGAGGGAAACTTTCCACTCACAGATGTGGATTGAGTTGTAAATAGATGTTTTTATCCCACTAGCAGCTCCCAAATAAATACACAAAGGCTTATATTAATTACAAATGCTTAGCTGATAGCTCAGGCTTATTACTAGCTAACTCTTACATTTAAATTAACCCATATTCCTTATTTATGCTCTGCCACATTGGTACCTTTTCTCAGTAAGGTTTGCCCATCTTGCTTTCTCTGCCTCTGCCTGGCAACTCCTCTGTCTCCGCCCTTCTTCCTCCCAGAATTCTCTCTGTAACAGGCTGTCTTGCCCAATCTCTTCCTGCCCACTATCATCCAATCAGCTTTTTATTAACGATGAGAGCAATGCACATTTACAGTGTACAAAGATTGTTCCACAGCATTGAGTCCATTTCCTTTGCATGTGAGCTTGGAGCAGGCACTCCAGAGCATGTTTCCTCAGCTGTCAGGAGAGGATGTCAACCTGAGGGTCATTGTGAGGAGCAAAAGGTGGGACACTGGAAATACTCCCTTTTCTACTGCTTCACAGAGTGTCACGCTGAAAAGGACCTGATTCCCAGGTGACTGCACTGGGACTAGCCTGGTGTCCAGTCCTGGAGTATGGGCCTCACATGCAGCTTTCCCAGGCTTCCTTCAGCTTGCTATTTGCCACTGGCTGCTCTGGCACTGGGGCCTTCTGAAAAAGAACTGAGAGGTACTCCGAGGAGACAATTCATGCTCTGGGGCGAAAGCTAGTAATCTGAGTGACTTGTGTGTTACAGCACACTAGGTTAAAATGCATCAGTCCACCTCTGTGAGGGAGAGGTCATGGTGTTTCATTTGCCTTTTAAGTTTTTTTTCAAACCTACAGAAAATTTGGAAAAATATTGATTATTAATCACCCAGAACCTCACAGCTAGGGTCACCAGTGTTGGACATTTGTTTGTGGCTATGCCACCCCACCCTCCATTTTCATGCCACATCCTCATCTTCACTGTCTTCTTTGTCTTTCTTTCCTTCTCATTCTAATTGTAGACCTCTTGATACTTCACCCTTAAGCATTTCAGCAGGGAGCCCCTAAAATTAAGACTAATTAATAAGACTAAATAAACAGTGACTGGGCGTTGGTGGCGCACGCCTTTATTCCCAGCACTCAGGAGACAGATGCAGGTGGATCTCTGTGAGTTCGAGGCCAGCCTGGTCTACCGAGTGAGTGCCAGGATAGGCTCCAAAGCTACACAGAGAAACCCTGTCTCGAAAAACCAATATAGTAATAATATTCCCCAACATTGACCACTGAGCCATCGCTCCTGGCCCCTGGTGGTTTACTTTTAATTGTACAAGTAGCACAATACAGTTTCCATGTGAAAACTTTTTTAAAATTTTTTTATTTGAATTAGAAAGATTATTTTACATGTCAATCCCAGTTCCCTCTCCCTCCCCTCCATGTGAAAACTCTTAACACCAAAGTGATAAAATAGAATCTTCTCTCCCCTCCCCCAAAGTTACTTCCTGTTAGTTTGAAGCGTGTTCACCTTTTCTCTGTCAATCTGTTTTTGGGAAGATTGTTTTCTCCTAAATGACATCATGCTATGGTGTTGATCTTGCTTTTTTTTTTTTTTTAAGATTTTTTTTTTAAAGATAGATTTATTTATTTATTTATTTATTTATTATGTGTACAGTGTTTGGCACCAAATGTCATTACAGATGGTTGTGAGCCACCATGTGGTTGCTGGGAATTGAACTCAGGACCTCTGGAAGAACAGGCAGTGCTCTTAACCTCTGAGCCATCTCTCCAGCCCCATGATCTTGCTTTTTTTCCCCTCCCTTTTTATTGTTTTATTATTTTTTTATTGTTGTATATGTGTGTAGGGATGTGCATGTGAGTTCATGTAGTACCCAAGGAGGCCAGAGGACTCGGATCTCCTTAGATTCTATTAGTGTTATAGGCAATTGTCAGCTGCTCAGTATGAGTACTGGGTCCTCTCTGTTAAGGGTGGTAAGTACCCTTAACCGCTTGAGCCATCTCTTCTGCCCGTTGGGGTTTGTTTGTTTTTATCTCTTCATATTTGGCATCACATCTTGAAACTTTGCCTTTTTACTTCACATAAAGCTAACTTATATTTCATAAATAAATAAATAAATAAATAAATAAACTGGGCTAGTGAGATGACTCCTTGGGTAAAAGTATTTGCCATGCAGGCCTGAATTTGTTTCCCATGTCCCACCATGGAAAAAAGCCAACTTCTACAAATTGTTCTCTGATTTCCACATGGGTACCATGCATGTATATCCACATGAATATTGATAAAAAAAAATTTTGTTCTTGAGACATGGTTTCTCTGTGTAACCCTGGCTGTCCTGGAACTCACTTTGTAGACATGCTGGCCTCCAACTAAGATCCACCTGCCTCAGCCTTCCAAGCACTGGAAATAAAGGTGTGTGCCATCACCACCTGGCTAAAACTATCCCAGCCTAGTCTACAGAGTTCCAAAACAGTGAAGGCAACACAGAGAAACCTTGTCTTGAAAACAAGAGAAAGATTTGAATCTTTAAAAAAAAAATACGGATTATATAAGTCATTTCTGCTGTGTTTACTTCCTTTACATTGTAATTGGTAACTGTATTCGCCAGAATGTTTTAGAAAACATTAGCAAACTCAAGTTTGATGATGATTAAACAGGTCTGTCTTGTTTGTTCATTTACTTGGGTACAGGGTCTTATATTGTAGATCAGGCTGGTCTGGATCAGAGATCTGCCTGCCTCTGCCTCCCAAGTGCTGGACTTAAAGGAGTGCACTTGTTTGTTTTTGCTTTTTTGGCCAAGGCTGGCCTAAAATTGGCCAAAGATGATATTGAATTCCTAATGCTCCTGCCTTTGTCCCCCAAATGCTAGGATTACAGATGTGGGTCACCATGCCCACCAGTTTGTTTCTTTCAATTAAAGTCTCTGCTGAGACAGACCTCAACATAATCCTCCTGCCTCCTAGGTGTGTGGTTACAAGGACACCTATACCAAATTTACTTGCCTCAGCCATGATAAAATATTATCACACCTAGCTAGATGTAGTGGCACACACCTTTAATCCCAGCACTCAGGAGACGAGCAGGAAGATCTCTACAAAGGGAGTTACAGGACAGAGAAATGCTGTCTTAAAAAACAAACAAAAAAATTTAGCTGGGTGTGGTAGGACACACCTGTAATTCTGTAATCCCAGCCAGAGAGAGAGGGGGGGGGGCAAGAGTGTGACAAGTTTGAGGTCTGCCTAGATTTAAGAATGTTTTTAAGGCTAGCCTGGCAATTTAGTGACCCTGTATAAAAGAGGGGACAGGTGAACCTGCTCAGTGGCAGGTAAAGGTGCTGGCTGACAAGCATGTAGACCTGTTTAATCCCCAGGACCAACTGGTAGAGAGAGAGAACTGACTCCTGCAAATTTCCCTCTGGCATGTCCTTTGACACTTGCACACCCATATGCATATCCACGAATAAATTAATTAAATTTTTTTGATAGAATCTCAGCATTTAGAGGCTGAGGCAAGATTGCCACAAGTTCACAGCAGCAGCAGCTTGCCCACCTGAAAAAAAGGAAGGCTTGCCAGGAGTTGGTGGCGCACGCCTTTAATGCCAGCACTCGGGAGGCAGAGGCAGGTGGATCTCTGGGAGTTTGAGGCCGACCTGGTCTACAGAGTGAGTGCCAGGATAGGCTCCAAAGCTACACAGAGAAACCCTGTCTCGAAAAACAAAAACAACAACAAAAAGGCTGTAGTGTTGCTCAGGAACGCAAAGCATACACAGAGTCTGTCTCTACTATAGCAAAGGAGAAGAAAAATATGTGAAGTTGTGATTTGATGACATTGAGATTATTGGTCCCTTAATGGCTTTCCTGCTTTGTCTTATCCAACTAACCTTCACTACTCCAATCGTAATATCCTCTGTAGTATAGAGTCTATACCCTTTGAAATTTCTATACTTTTTCTACATACTTAGGAAATTGTATCTATTTATTGTAATAGTGGAGGTCAAAGGACAACTTTTTAAGTCTGTTCTCTCCTACCATGTGAATCCCTGGGATCAAACTCATGCTCGGCAAAAAAAAAGATCTTAACTCTCTGGGCCATCTCATTGGCTTGGAGTCTTGTTTAATTTTGAGACAGGGTCTCACTATCACCTTGACTGGCTTGTTTTGCTCTATAGACCAGGCTGTCCTCGAACTCACAGAGATCTGCCTTTGCCTTCCTGGTGCTGGATTAAAGGCGTGTACCACCTCCACCCAGTTTAGGAATTCTTTTTTGTTTGTTTTTCAAGACAGTAGTTGTTTTGGGGTTTTTGTTTTGGTTTTTGTTTTTTTGTTTTTGTTTTTTGTTTTGTTTTGTTTTGAGACAGGGTTTCTGTGTGGCTTTGGAGGCTGTCCTGGAACTAGCTCTTATAGACCAGGCTGGCCTTGAACTCCCGAGTGCTGGGATTAAAGGCGTGCACCACCACCACCACCACCACCACCACCACCACCACCTCCTCCTCCTCCAGCTCAGGAATTCTTTGTTAGTGGCACAGGGATGTGTAGTTTAGTGATAAGGTCTTTGCCCAGCACACACAGGACCCTAGATTCAGTGACCAACACCACAAGAAGCAAAACAAAAACCAACCTTATTTACATTGGAATCTCCTTTCTAAACAGTTCTTTATAGAACTAGAAAGCCTTGTTGGGGACTCCAAGAATCATTAGCCTGCCTCCCCACTATTAGCAAAAGACATTTAGCTCTTTCTCTATCAAAGTCCCTCTTGTAGCCCAAGTGGAACAAATTCCTCCGTGGTCATTCACATTCCAGAGGCCCTCCAGACTGGGACTGTCCAGTGGACAGCCTGTGTGCAGTGATGGAAATGCCTGTGTCTGTACCCTAGACAGAAGCTAGAGCTGATTGCCATCCGCCTGTGGTGACTAAGCACATGTGGGACTCGGCTGGTGTGGCTGAGGCTGAGGGGATGTTTTTTTTCTTTGGTTTGGTTGGTTTTTTGTTTGTTTTTCAAGACCGTTTCTCTGTGTAACAGTCCTGGCTATCCTGGAACTCACTTTGTAGACCAGCTGGCCTCACAAAGCTCCACCTGCCTCTGCCTTCCTAGTGCTGGTATTAAAAGCATGTGCCACCACCACCTAGCTACTTTACTTAATTAAATCTGAAGAGTCACATTTAGCTGTAATGGCTGCCACATCATATAGTAAGCTCTAGACTTGGGCTCCAATTCAGTCCTCTAACCCTGACTTGCTCAGGCTTGTGCTGAAGGTAATACTTAGGGACATGGCTGTGACATCAGTTATCCTGGGTAGTTCAGCCACTGCAGAGACTGAAGATCACTTGAGCAGGGAATTTAAGGTTAACCTGAGCAAAGCATAGCAGCGTAGCATACCCACATTTTGTTTTGAAGACAAAGTGCGTGCTGAGTAAACCTGAGAGCCTGTGTGCAGAAGCTAGAGAGATGATGGTGCAGTGGTTAAGAGCATTCCTTGCTCTTGCAGAGGGTTCATTTCCTGCAACCACACAGAGCTTACAACTATCCATAACTCCAATTCTAGGAGATCTGACACCTTCTGACCTCCTTGGGCACCAGGCACATATGTGATGCACATACATACATGCAGGCAAGCACTCATACACATAAGGGTTTGTTTTTGTTTTTTAGCCCTTATCCTCTGTTTTAAGTTGTCAGGGAACGTAGAGACCCGTCTGCTGTAAAAAGGGTTGGCAGATGGCTGTCCACTTTGGATTTCTTCATGGTGAGACTTGGGACAGATTTTCCTTAATCTGTCCCGAGAAATGATGAAGCAGCCTGCCATTTTCTTTTTCAAGTGAAAATTTACAGGCTTCTCTAACCTCCCAGAAAGGTTTGTTTTTGTTTTAATATTTTATATGTGTGTTTTGCCTGAATGTGTATCTTGTACACTATGTACATGCCTGGTGCCCAAGGAGGTTGGAAGAGGACATCAGAAGCGCTGAAACTGGAGTTGTGGTTGTGAGCTACCATGTGGTGCTGGGATTTGAACCAGGTGTTCTGGAAGAACAGGCAGTGAGTGTTCTTAACCACTGAGCCATCTCTGTGTCGCCGTCCCCCAAGTGTTTTTCTTATTCCACAAGTTTGTTTTGGGTGGAATGATGGTTAAGAGCCATACAGAAGACTCTAAGACCTATTGGGCAATTGTGTGGTTGGATTGGGGCAGTGCAGGAGGATGGGACTTGTTTGTAACAAGAGTCTCAGCCTTCTGAACATCCAAATTATAGGCATGAGACCCCACACCGAGCATTGCTTTGCATACTATAATGTACTTCAGATCTCCAGAAGGATTTCCTAGAGAGCTAGCTTTGAATTTTCACAGGTAATAGTGAGTGGCAGAGCTCAGCATGGGGATGACAGGGTTGTCCTTTCAAGGAGAATCCCAGCCCAGGAGGAGATGACATCCTGGTGCTCCAGCAAGAATCACTGTGTTCACCGGGCGTTGGTGACACATGTCTTTAGTCCTAGCACTCAAGGCAGAGGCAGGCCATGTCTGTGAGTTCGAGACCAGCCTGGTCTACAAGAGTTCCAGGACAGATCGAAAGCCACAGAGAAACCCTGTCATGGATAAAGAAAAAAGAAAAATTATTGTGTTCAGAGTCTCATTTGATCATGCAGTGGAACTTGCATGATATTGCCTGGCACTGACAATCAAATAAGGATGCCAGAAGAGAGACGAGTACCCTAAATACCAACCAGGTGTGCCATGGGATGTATTGCCTGCCTATTGAGGGTGTGACAGTGTTCCCTGCTCTGAGAGTGGGAAGCTCTGCCATAATGGAGGTAGAGTGTCTGGCTCTCCTCCAGTCCAAAGGCAAGACTCCTACATTGTCTTAATATTCACGGTGTGGCTCTTCCACACAGTAGCATTCCTCCTAATGAAAAAGAAAAGAGGATCTGTGTGTACTGGCAAGATCTAAAATAAATAAAGTGACTATTGGAGATCATTATGCTGTACAAACATGGCACTCTGTTGAATGGTTTAGAATTTTTGGAGCTAAATAGCACATTGCTAGTAGTAGATACTTCCACTAAGTAGAAACAGCAAAGACTTTCTTTTCAGTTTATGTTGTCCTATTTATGCTTGAATTCTACACTGAACTTAAATATACTGTATGTATATGCCCCATTCTTTCCATTCTCTCCCTGAAGTATATCTATGGCTAGCATCAGTTTAGAAATCTGCCTCTGGCCTTCCAGCTCTTCTGGGTTGAGCTCAGTCAGTGGTTCCCGCCAGATACTGTCACACACTTAGTACAGTGTGTTGCAGTGTTTATATTAGGTTGTCTTTGTCTTGACTGAGAACACCCTGAAGTAAGGGCCATATTGAGAACATATTGCCTGGTGTCATAGACATTTGCCTCAGGTATACTCACTAAGCTGTTAATAATGTACTTATGCTTTTTTTTTTTTTTTTTTGGTTTTGTTTTTTTTGAGACAGGGTTTCTCTGTGTAGCTTTGGAGCCTATCCTGGCACTCACTCTGGAGACCAGGCAGGCCTTGAACTCAGAGGTCCGCCTGCCTCTGCCTCCCTGGTGCTGGGATTAAAGGCGTGCACCACCACATCCAGCTACTTATGCATTCTTACACACTTTGAGGATTTACATTGTGATTCCAGAACTCACATAAGGCAGTTGCTAAGAGAGAGACAGCAGTATACATTCAGCACAGTTAACCTGGAAGGCCATGGACAGCAAGCCATCAAAGCCTGATGAGACAGGCCTGAGCTAAGCAGAAAGCCCCAACACTGGTAACTCTGGCTTTAGTCAAGTCATTAAGCCTCTTGGAACTCATTTGTCCCTTTGCATGGAAATAGTATATACAGGCCAGTGAGCTAGTGCAGCAGGTAACAGCACTTGCTGCCAAGCCTAACACCTGAGTTGAATCCCTGGGACCTACATGGTTGAGAGAGCCAACTCATGCAAGTTGTCCTCCTATCTCCATGGCATGCTTGCCCACACATACATTAAATATAAGTTAGAAGTTAATATATACTACAGCATAGGAAAAGGTGAGTAATATGTGTCATGCCTGGTCACACATCACTACATTTTCACGTGGTCCTGGCATCCAAAGGTCTAGTCTCTGGGAAAGATTAGGATCTGGGAGTATTTGTTTCCTGGAGTGTCCCCTTCCTGTTTCTTTGAGCCGTTTACCCCTATCTTCTCACCGACCTGTCTCTACCATTTAGGTCTTCTGCTGTTCTAGGTGACATTCTCCCTTGAGTCTGACAAGCTGGACTAACCTGTGTTTGGGTCCCTGCCTGTGATCCAGGACCTGGAAGTATCACAGATCAGAACAAAGATCTTGTTTAAATTTTGAACTGTAAATAAAGGATTTTTTTTTTTAATTCATGGGTTCTGTTGTTGCTGTTTGTGTTATGATAAAGCTCCAGGGGGACTTTATTTGGGGGACCTTGATGGACTCCATGGCAGGCAAGGGTAACCAAAGTAGAGGGACAAACAATACCAGGCAAGACAGGGCTTAGTGAGAAGTTTTATTAGAAGGGGGAGGAAAGAGAAAAGAGGTAAAGAAACAGAGTCCTGTCTGCCCCAGGGGAACTGCAGGGAAAGAGCTGGAAAAGAGAGCCTAAGTGGGGGATGGGTGGTCTGTCTTTTAAAGGGGTCCTTTGCACCTGCATGTAGGCTAGTACTCATGGAACCCTGGGCTGACCAGGGTAGTGCCTGAGTGCATTCTGGCAGGTGATGGGCAGGCCAGCATAATGCCTGAGTCTTTACAGTTTGTGTTGCTCATTTTTAAAGTAAAACAACTCCAGTGTTTATTCTAATAGAAAGTTTAATTAGGTTTAAGTGAAAAGCCTCCAGAGTCGGATATTTTAATCCCAGAACTCAGGAGGCATAGGCAGTTTCTGTGAGTTTAAAGCTGGCCTGGTAGAGTTAGTTCTAGGTCAGCCGAGGCTGCATCCCTGTCTCAGAGAACAGAGCAGACACGCAGTAACCCTCTGCAGGATCACACTTCATAAGGAGAATAGGTGGGTGGAAGGAGAGCTTTGGAGACAGGGTAAGGAAACCCAAAGTATCAGAAAAGGCAAAAGCAGACTTAGGTCTTGGCCTTCATCCAAAAAAAGAAGAAAAAGTAAAAGGGAAAGTTGGACCTGAGTCAGGGCTAGGTCAGGTGGGCAAACCCAACCTCATGGGAGTTGGTGTGTGTGGTTCTAATTGGCAGCAATGACTGTCTGCCTCCTTGCCTCATGCTTCAGGTAGGACTGGCTCTCCTCAGAGGCCATCATACAGAAGAGCCAAGTGCTGTGTATATAGAAGCCTCCAACTTGAAACAGTTGTAGGGTCCTCTAGGGTTCTGCGGATAGGCAAAAGGAGCAAAGTGCAAGGCAAGCATTTCAGCAGTAGGTAGTACAGTATATCCCAGCAGATTCGATTCCAGAAGCTCTGGAGCCACTGGTGAAGGGGAGGAGAGCATCTGGTAATGTGTCTTGATCTTGATCAAGTAGGAATCATGGGGTGGAGGAATCTACCAGGTCACTTTTGAGCCTTAGAGGTCTTAAGAAGTTAACATTCGCCAGGCGTTGGTGGCGCACACCTTTAATCCCAGCACTCAGGAGGCAGAGGCAGGAGGATCTCTGTGAGTTTGAGGTCAGCCTGGTCTACAGCACGAGTTCCAGGACAGGCTCCAAAACAATACAGAGAAACCCTGTCTCGGAAAAAAAAAATAAAAAATAAAAAAGTTAACATTCTCTAAAACCCAGTTTCCTCATCTGTAGAACAAGGGTGTCCTCTTGTTCTGGGCTGAAAGAGTCCGTGAGGAGAAGGCATTGTTGTACATACCTAACCGCAGCACTTTTGGGAGTGTGAGGCTGGAGGCATACAGTAAATTCAAGGACAACCCTGTTACATCTTGAGACCTAGGGAAGTAGGGAATAGATGATTTTTGTAACACACACCTGTAATCCTAGCCCTTGGAAGGTTAAGGCAGGAGAATCAGGAACTCAAGGCATATACACAGGACATACAAATAATATACCATGAGTTGGGTGTTGGTGGTGGCACATGCTTGTAATCCCAGTACTTGGGAGGCAGAGGCAGGTGGATCTCTGTGAGTTCAAGGCCAACCTGGTCTACATAGTGAATTTCAGGACAGGTTCCAAACCCTGTCTTAGATAGATAGATAGATAGATATGATATGATATGATATGATAGATAGATAACATATGTTAGAAAGGGAATAATCCAACATGGAAAGATTCCATTCCCTAAGAAATATAATATCAGAATGAAAAAGTTACTCTGAACCAGGCATGGTGGTACATGCCTTTTTTTTTTTTTAATAGTTTGTTTTTATTTTAATTGGTGTTTTGCCTGCATGTATGTCTGTGTGAGAGGAGTGTCAGATCTTGGAGTTAAAGACAGTTGTTAGCTGCCATGTGGTGCTGGGAATTGAACCCGGGTCCTCTGGAAGAGCCAGTGTTCTTTGTTTTTTTTTTTTTTTTTGGTTTTTTTTTTTTTTTTTTTTGGTTTTTCAAGACAGGGTTTCTCTGTGTAGCTTTGGAGCCTATCCTGGCCTCGAACTCCCAGAGATCAGCCTGCCTCTGCCTCTCGAATGCTGGGATTAAAGGCGTGCACCACCAACGCCCGCTAAGAGTCAGTGTTCTTAACCCCTGGGCCATCTCTCCAGCTAGCTACATACCTTTAATCCCAGCACTCAGAGGCAGGCAGATCTCTGAATTCAAGGCCAACCTGGTTTACATACTTCGGTGACAGCCAATGCTATGTAGCAAGACCCTGTCTCAAACATACACACACACACACACACACATTCCTCTGATATAAGTTTCATGAGGCATTTAATGTGTTCATTTGTATATTTGGGAGGAAAGGGTCTGCCATGTAGCTGTGTGTAGCTTGGAACTCACTTGTGTAGATCAGACTGAGGACTTCCTACCTCTCCCTCCTACTTTCTGGGATTACAGCCATTAATTACATCTATCAATGCCTATCCATTTCTGTTTCCCTATCTCATGGTAAGGGATTCCTCAACTATACAGGCAGATGAAACAGTCAAATTCTATAAGAACCTGCCTTGAGCCGGGCGTTGGTGGTGCACGCCTTTAATCCCAGCACTTGGGAGGCAGAGGCAGGAGGATCTCTGTGAGTTCAAGGCCAGGATAGGCTCCAAAGCTACACAGAGAAACCCTGTCTTGAAAAAAAAAAAAAAAAAAAAAAAAAAAAGAACCTGCCTTAAAGTGCCATTTTTGTGTACCAGAGACAAGGTAGTGAAATACAAAGAGCCCTAGCTATGTAAACTGACTTCAGCTGGCATAAAAAGCTTATGCTAAGCAGAGGTCTGTTAAGTGACTGGACAGGGTGGAGTTATCAAGAGATGGGAAAGGAGGAACAGCTGTGCCCCCCTAATCCAGTGTTTTTGTCACGGGAGTACAGCCGAGTTCACTGACACCGGGCACTGCTGCCGTGACAGTCTTTGCTGTTGTGCCAGTCTGCTGAAGCTGTAAGATGAGTAAGACGTGGTGGCCCATGCTTATGACAGGAGACAGGCAGTTTCTACGCCAGTGGTAAAGACAGAAATGTGGTCTGCTGTCTGTAGTTTTGGTGGGTATTTTCTTTCTTTAACTCCTGTGTCCCTAACACCTGGAAAAACTGAGCATCTATGTCTAGTAGGTATCAATATGTTACATAAACCAGATATTCAAGTAGAGTGGAGAGATGAGGTGAGAAGAAAAGGTTATTTAAAAAGTTAAACAATGAAAACCACATTAACAGGGTGCAGCTTTTCAGGGGCTGGAGAGATGTCTCATCTAATGAAAAAACCTTCCTGAACAAGGATGATGGTGTGAGTTCAGATCTCCAAAAGCCATCTAAGAGCCAGATATGTTTATAATCCCAGTAGCTGAGTTCGAGGCCAGCCTGGTCTGCAGAGAGAGTTCCGGGACAGGCTCCAAAGCTACAGAGAAACTCTGTCTCAAAAATCCAAATCATCATCATCATCATCCCATTAGCTGAATAGCAAGATAGGAAGTTGAAACAGGAGAATTCCAGGGGAGCTTGCCTGCCAGCTGCACTGAAGTATGTGGCACAACAGCAAAGTTTCTCTTGAGAGAAGCTGTCCCAAAGCATCAGGAAGTCAAGGATAGGCATCCGAGCCCTGAGACACACACACATATAAACACATGCACAGCATATACACAAAATGTTAAAAATTTGAAGGCACCAGACACTTGGGAAACAGGCAAGTGGATCTCTAGGGAGGTCAGCCTGGTCTACATAGTTCTAGGCCAGCCAGCACTTGGGAGGCAGAGGCAGGCAGATCTCTGTGAGTTCCAGGCCAGCCTGATCTATGGAGGGAGTGCCAGGAGAGGCTCCAAAGCTACACAGAGAAACCCTGTCTCAAAACCAACCAAACAAACAAATAAACTTTTAAAGGCTTGAAAGAACTGATGAGTGATGTAAATGTTGATGTATTGATTGGGATTAGGGAGAGGGCCAGGATGGGTCAAGGTGTGTTCCTAAACCAGAACCTGTGAGGGGTTGCAGAAAAGGTGAAAGCTATTTTGCAAAGGAGATTCCTGGGATGTGTCTCCTTGCATGGCTTAAAAGCAGGAACTAGTAGGGTGTGTAAGGCGGTTCTTGGACAGACTGGCTGGTGCAAACTTCCAAGGTGATGGTGGTGGGAAAGGAATGGAGAGCTCCTACTTTGGGACAGGAAATGAGTGTCAATCCTGAGGTGCATCTTTGTTTTTTTCTGAAATGATTTTTCTGTGTATCCCTGGCTGTCCAGGAACTCACTCTGTAGATCAGGCTGGCCTTGAACTCAGTGATCTGCCTGCCTCTGTTTCCTGTGTGCTGGAATTAAAGATGTGTGCCTCAGTGTATTTTTTTTTTTTTTTTTGGTTTTTCGAGACAGGGTTTCTCTATGTAGCTTTGGAGCCTATCCTGGCACTCTGGAGACCAGGCTGGCCTGGAACTCAGAGATCCGCCTGCCTCTGCCTTCCGAGTGCTAGGATTAAAGGCGTGCCCCACTTACCTCAGTGTATCTTAACATACCATCTTTGGGTGGGGCACTGGTAGGGGGGTGGGGGAAGAGGAGGAGGAGAGGGAGAAGGGATTGACTTGTGAAGCAAGCTTGTTCCTAATTTGAGCTAATAAAAAAAATTAAAAAAAGAGAAAAAAATACCATCTTCATGTTACACCAAAGCGTGAGGATTGATGGATGAATACCCAAATGAGGAAGTAGGGACACCCCTAAGCAATAGACACATGTGACAGAATTGGCATTTCAGCTTGAGACACCATCTTTCCAAAGCAGTTAACACTCATTTTTCCCCGTATTTCTCATGGTGTGCATATGCAGTTCTTACATGTGTGTGGGTACTCTTGCATGTGTGCGCACACATATGGAGGCTCAAGGCTGATGTTCAGAATTATTTTCCTTTGCTATTCCATCTTATTCGTGGAGGCAGAGTCTCTCAATCAAACCCAGATCTGTCTGAATCAGCTAGTATGGCTAGGTAGCTTGTCTCTGCCTTCCTAGGCTGAAATTCTAGGAGGGTTGCTATACCCACTCCACATTTATTCTGGGGATCCCATGGAGCCATCTCCCCAGCCCCTGCTCATTTATTCTTCAGGGTTCTGTCCATGCAGGCCTGGAACTCACTATGTAGTTCAAGATGGCCTCTAAATCACTGAGATCCTCCTGCCTCAGCCTCTCAACTTCTGGAGTACAGGTGCCACCATCTTCTGTTGCCATTGCTGTCATTTTCTAAGTATCCTCATAAGTTTGGGGGAATCTCAAGCCTGCAGGGCATGCTGAAGAACGGTGGCTCAACAGCAGCCCTCCTTCACACCCTGCTGCCCCAAGCCTTTTCACACTCCCATAACTGCCCAGATGGCCCTGTTGCTGCCAGCACTTCATTGATTCATTTTTCACAGTGTCATTAAACATATGATTAATTTCGACCCTTGGCGCCACAGAGACAAAAGGAGCATATATAAAAACATTGCACAGCTTGACATGGTAGCAAACATTTTTAATCACAGCATTTGAGAGACCGAGGCAGCAAGATCTCTGTCAGTCCCAGGCATGGTGAGACCTTGTCTCAAATCAAAGGAAAACAAAACAAAATAAAAACAAACAAACACATGTTAAGCACTAGATAGACCCTTAAGGAAAGGTCAGGCACAAAGGCACATGCTGGTACAGCTGCCACTCAGGTCATGAATTCCTGGCAGCCTGAGCTTCCAAGTGAGACCCTGTCTCAAAAGGGCATAAGAGGGAAATGTTCAGAAAAGAATTTACAGAATGGTGGGGAGTGTTTATAACATGTACTAACAGCTAAAAAGGAGTCACTGTTAGGTTGGACAAGGGATGAGTAGTGGGAAGGTACATTTAGAGAAGTCATACCACATTAAGGAATTGGGATGTAATGGTAGTCACTAAAGAGTTCAAGTGTTTGAAAGAACATTGGCTGTTTGGGGGAATCTTAAGGAGGACTGGGTGGGGTGGTGGGGGCAATTGCTTGTCTTTAATTCTTTAATGACCTTAATCTGGCAGGTGAGTTTCTGAGAGTTTGAGGCTAACCTGGGCTATACAATAAGAACAGGTTACAAAAAACAAAAAACCTGTAATGTTTTAAGTAGTAAACAATGTAAAGAAGATCTTGTGACAAAGGCCACATCACATTTCTAGGTCAGCTCTGTGAGTAAACTGTTTCAGGCCCAGTGAGATTGCTGATAAACTTGCTAGATGCTGACAGTAAAGTGAGTTCCATGCCTGGACCTACATGGTAAAAAGAGAGAATTAACTACACAAGTTGTCCTCTTACCTCCATTGTGCCCCCCCCAATAAAAATAGTAAGAATATTTTTCTACTATTCAAAAATTCAAAACACATGTACCCTCTGCTTTTGGAGCTAAAGATCTGTTACAACCAAACAGCCCACAAAACTTTACTTGTCCTTTTTGCTGGGCTGAAGATGGTTTATCAGTTAAGAGCACTTGCTGCTCTTACAGAGGACCTGGGTTCAATTCCCAGCACCCACATGGCAGGTCACAACTGTCTATAACTCTAGTTCCAGGAGATCTGAAACCCTCATACAGGCATACAAACAAACAAAATACCCCAATGCACATAAAACAAGAGTAGGAATTTTATTTATTTATTTATTTATTTATTTATTTATTTATTTATTGCTGTCTCTGCTTTAAGCAAAAAGTAATGGCAGAGAAGCCTAACTTGCTTCAGGATCAGATTTTCCAGAACTGACAAAGGGAGGCCTTTAGCCGGCAAGGGATAAGGGTTACTACACTAACTTTCTTCTTGTAATTGCTATTACATGTATTTATTTACTGGGGGGTGGGGGGGTGGGAGATGAATGCCACAGTGCTCATATAGGAACTAGGATCTTCAGGTTTGGTCTCAAGTGCCTTTACACAGAGCCACCTTGGGTCCCTTTAATTGCTTTCCCTGCTTCCATCCTTCCTCTTTCTGCAGCCCATTCCCCAAGCAGCAGCCTTTTCTTTTTAAGATGAGACTCCCTACTTAAAACTCTAAAAATTACCCTCCCCACTTGTGACCTCAGGATGAATCAATCTCACATTAAATACACCTAGTTGACCCTGCCCACCTCTACAACCCATATTTCTTTTTACTCCTACTGAATCCCTTTATTTGCATTTTCCTTGAGGCCCTCTAGGCCTTTGCACAAACCTATCTTTGCCTGAAAAGTCACCACCCAACACTTCCTTCCTTCCCCAAAGGCTGTGGTCACCCAACTATGAAGTGTTAGGCGTGTAAGTTTGTGCCTCCATCAGAAGGCAGAAACTTACTGGCAAACTATTTAAATGCCTCGTCAATAGTAGATGCCTAATAAAGAATGAATGAAGGTATAGGCGGGGGGATTCAGTAGCACCAGACAACCTGTATTTTACAGGATATAAAAACATGGATTGCAATCCTTGTCAACATTGTTGCTTGGTGTGGGGGGAAGGGGGAGTCTAACTTATCCACTAAATTAAATCCAATTTGTGGCCAGTATGAAACACATTCCTCGTGCGCCCGGTAAAGGAGCACCCCCGCCCTGAAAACACTGATTTCGTGGCAGCCGGAGCGCCTGCGTGGTCCCTCCAAGGTGACTGGACCGCCAAAAGCCTGAGCCATTAAGGAGGCCGCGGCGCTCACCCGGTCCAGGGAGAGAGCCCCTTCTAGAAGCACGGGTAGGCCCAGCCACCGCGGCCCACGTGCGCGACGAGCGCAACCCCGTGCGGACACGTTCCCTCTACGCGTCCTCCCGGTACTCTATGGTGCTCACGGCCGAGCAGCTCATTCTAGTTCCGGTCTCTATGGCGGCGAAGGCAGGAGCGGCTGTGGGTCGGCCGAATTAGTCGCCAAAGGGCCCAATGAGCGCGCAAGAGACGGGGAGGGGGAGCCAATAGGCGCTAGGGACCCGGTCAGGTGGTAGGATTGACGATGATCCTGGCCAATAAAAGAGGATGAGGGCGGGCCTATCGCGGGGCTTATCCCGCCCGTCCCGCCATTCTCGCTAGTTCGATCGGTAGCGGGAGCGGAGAGCGGACCCCAGAGAGCCCTGAGAGCCCCACCGCCGCCCCCGGCCCAGCCAGCCTCACACACCCCCAGGGGC